AGATGAGAGGATGGTGAGACTTGGTCTCACACACTTTGGACGTGATATCAGGAGGGCTCAGTCCCTGGAGAAGGACATCATGCTTGGTAAAGTAGAGGGTCAGCGTAAAAGAGAAAGACTCTCAATGAGGTGGACTGACACTGTGGCTGCAAGCATAGCAGTGATTGTGAGGATGGCGCAGGACCAGGCAGTGTTTTGTTCTGTTGTACTCAGGGTCGCTATGAGTCAGAACCGACCTGATGACACTTAGTAACATCATAAATGTAGATAAAATTCAGCTCAGCATAGTTTTCACATAATCTCTTGTATTATTTTTTTCTTTTGCTTTATATATAACAAAATGCCATAAACTTAGTGGCCTAATACTTTTTTGTATGTGTTCGCTTTATTTTGTTTTAATAAAATCCATTCAATATCTCACAGTTTCCCTGGGTCAAGAGTCTGGGTACAGATTAACTGGATCCTGCTCAGGGTTTCACCAGGCTCAAATCCAGGTGTAGACCAGGGCTATGATGTCATGTGATGCATGGGGTTTTCTTCCAAGCTCACAAATTGTTGGCAAAAATTTCAGTTTCTTCCATCGGCAGGACTGAAACTTCCAGCCTCTGGAAGCTGCCTATTTTTCCCTGATACGTGGCACTCTCCAAAGCACAGCAATTTGTTTTCATGATCAGCAAGATCATGACTTTCTAAACTTCTAATCTCTCTGACTGCTGGGAAGTTGTTTTAAGGAATTCATCTGATTAGATAATGTCCATCCAAAATATCTCATTTAATTAACTGAAAGACAACCTGATTAGGGACCTTAATTACCTCTGCAAAATCTCTTTTGACATACGAAATAACATAATCATGGAAGTAAAATCCGTAATATTCACAGGTCCCAGTCATACACAGGGGAGGAGATTATACAGGACATGTACAACAAGGGCAGGAATCTTGGGGTCATCTTAGAATTCTGCCTACCACACCTGTGTCGTCAGTCAATGGAAACATAAGCTTTCATTTCATTACATAAAAATCATACGCACTCAAGCGAAACTTTGGGAAACATGAATAAGATGATAGCTACATTTTTTTTTTCCTTATTGAAAACCAGGAACTGTGCTTTGTGATCAAGGACTAATTGAATGTTGACAACAATCTTATTGGTTACATATTATTATTATTAGCTCTCAAATT